AAAATTCTTAGAATAAGCAGGTGAAACACTGTCAGGCCTAGCTTTCAACGATGAATTATCCAAAGTGTTGCAGACCGTGCAGATCCGGTCAGGAGTTCGAGGCCCTGTGGGCCCAAGTGTTGCAGACCATACAGGCTGCAGGCTCTGAGGAACAGACTCTAGCCACCTAGCAGACATAGCAAACTGTCTTTCATCTTATTGTTCAGTTATGTTTATTATTAATTGCATACATGAAGCCCTGATATCCACAGATAAATGTAATATTTTCTTAAAAGCCGAGACTGTAAAATTCCAAAAAGGCAAAGTCTTCCCTCAAAGAATTCAGTCAAAGTAAATTGGGTGGCTCCCCGGTCTTTGTTCTAAGGACAAAAGGACACCCTCCCTAAAGTGTTTCCAGGTGCAGCCCATTCACCTAGGCACTTAGCTTCTTCCTGCAAACCTGGCCCAGGCAGCCAACACAGCAGGACTCCTTTCAATTCTCCTTTTCCTTCCCCCATTTGAGGCTAGGTGCTAAAAGGTAAGTTAATTAAGCTTGAGAAACCAAGTTGCGGTCGTGAGATTCCAACCTGCAAAGTACAATGTAAAGCTGCCTGAATGTCTGGAAAATTATGTATGTTAGCTGTACCTTGTCTTAGTCCCACCCAGCTTTGTGTAAAGTACCTCCCCTAAATAAAACGGAGGCGCAGGCCGAACCAGGTGTGCATTATGACTGGCAAGGCGTGCGTTACAGCATGCAGGGGGCTCAGTCCAGCATTGCAACCATACTGCCTGCTTAGCCAAGATGTTTACTATGCGGGATCTTACCGCCCTTATAGCTCAGATGTTTACCACGCTGGATCTGCAGGGACGCCAGTAATGCATCCACTTTGGTTTTGGGGTGTCTCTGTGTCTCCTCTTTCGCTATCACTATCGCCGCCAGATATCCCCACCTCGTGAACCAAACACCTATGTCGAGGCAGGTCCCCGGCACCAAAGCACAACAGCAAAAGACAATAAAATCTAAAACTTCTGTTTATCAAAAGACTTTACAAAGAAAGGGAAAAAGACAAGCTACTGACTCGGAGAATATATTTGGAAACCATATATCCAACAAGAATCTAATAACTGAAATATACATTAAACTCGGGCAACCTTACAACAAAAGGACAAATACCCAATCAGAAAATAGGCAAAGGACCTGGATAGACATTTCATCAAAGAAGACATTCAGATGGTCACCAAACACGTGAAAGGATGCTCAGCATCATTGGTCATCTAACCTACTGCCATCCAACTTGCACCGTCATAGAGATACAAATCAAAACCACAAAGATACAAATTCACTTCCACTAGGATGGCTAAGATGAAAACAAAACAGAAAATAACATACTGGAGAAGAGGTGAAGAAATTGGAAGCCTTTCACATTGCTGCTGGGAGTGCAAAATGGTACAGTCAAGGTGGAAAACAGTGCGGCAGTTCCTCAAAAAACTGAAACTAGAACTACCATATGACCCAGCAAATTTCACTCATATGTATATAACCAAAAGACAAAAGACTTAAAAAGAGACAAGTACACCAATGTTCACTGTAGCACTATTCACAATAAAAGATGGAAAACAACCTAAATACTTATCAGCAGATGAATGGATAAACACAGTGTGGTACATATGAGTACAAACAATGGAATACTACTCAGCCAGTAGAAGAAATGAAGTCTTGATACATGCTACAGTATGGATGGAACTTGAAGATATGCTAAGGCAAATAAGCCAATTACAAATGAACAAATATTTATACGCCCTCACATATGACAAGAAAAGACAAATCAATGGAGATCAAAGTTAAATAATGGTTATCAGGAGCAGATGTAAAAGCTGGACAATAAATAAGGCAAATCAAAGAAGAATTGTGGTGTTGGTGAAGAATATTCATGGACTTCCAGAAGAACAAACAAATCTGTCTTAGAAGAAGTATAGCCAGAATACTCAACAGAAGCTAAGAGTGAGACTTCATCTCTCTTACTTTAAACACGCTTTCAGGAAGAACCAGTCCCTGGAGAAGGCTATCATGCTTGGTAAAGTAGAGGGTGAATGAAAAAGAAGACCTTCAATGGGATGGATTGACACAGCAGCTGCAGGAATGGCTCAAACACAGTAACCATTGTTAGGATGTGCAGGATCAGGCAAGGTTTAATTCTGTTGTACATAGGATCAGAACCAACTTGATGGCACCTTGCAACAACAACCAGGGAAAGCAGAGAGAGGGAAAGGAGGGGTTAACACTGATGGAAAAATCACATTGATTAAGGGTAGGATTGCACAACTGATGATCACAATTGCTTTCAATAAGTTGTACACTTATAAAAAATTGAATTTGCAAAAGTTGTGTGATAGATATTTTTATAACAATGGGGGAAAAAAAGTTGATGAGGCTGCTTATATATAATCAAACACCTCATGGAATTTGGTTCCTTGGTTTGAAAGTTTATGGTTATGGTTTCATGGAACATCCCAGTTAATTGGTCTAATAACGTATTTAGTGCTTCAGTTCCACCTCCTAGTTTGTTGTGTTGGGGTGCCTGGGGTCTTAAAAGCTTGTCAGCCATTGTCCAGTGCACAACAGTTGATCTCTATTCACCTGGAACAACAGAGGGAGAAGGAGAATATGGAATGAAACCAATGGCCTCCATAAATAACTGCCTTCTTGGCCATTCTACAACTGGATGGTAACATAATTGCTGAGCATCACGATCAAAGATTCTATACACAAAATCTGATCAAGTGAGGGAAAACAGGGTACAGAATTCCAAATTCTCAAGGACTCTAGACTTTCTGGAGCCATGGAGAGTAGATGAAGCCCTGAAACTATTACTCTGAGATCATCTTTAAACTTTAAACCAAAAATATGCCCTGAAGTCATCTTAAAAATGAACAATTCTTACCTTAACTAGCAAAAATTTCTGCTTTGAGCATTATGCTGAAATCAACAACAACTTGAAAGATGAAATAGGAACCTTAGGAGGCAGTGAGTTTATGCTGATGAGTTCAGAAAAGAAGGGTAAGAATAGCTACACAAATCAAAGAACGTCACTAAATTGTACATATGCTTTACTATATAAATCAACAACAACAAAAGAAACAGTTGAGAGAAAGGAGAACATTCTACGGAGCACAATTCTACTTTGGAGCAGGAATCCACTCTATAGCCACTAGTAGTTTCTTTTGTTTTCTTGGCTTGCTGTCCTAAAATTTCTCTCTCTCTGTGACTACATGAACAAAATTAAAAGGAACGAGAGCCAGTCTCTGGGCAAATCCAAAACTACCATTTATCTTATGACCCAGGGGCATAGGGACTTTACATTAATCATCTTATTTCTTTTAATCACACTTAAATATAGGTGCTCATATATGTTAAGTGCTGACTCAACATGTAACAGCAACATATGTAGGATTTGGCAGATCCTACCATGTTGTTGTTGTTAAGTGCCGTCGATTCAGTTCCAATTCATAGCGACCCTGTATAGGGTTTCCAAGGAGCAGCTGGTGGGTTTGAACTGTCGACCTTGTGGTTCATAGTCCAGTGCATACTACTCGGAAATTGTCTGGGATGCTGCCTAGGAATCTCACCTACTATTAACTTCTTATCCATGCTTGTCTCCAAATGCATTACAACAGAGTAGCAACTCCTTTCCCCATACCAAATAAAGACCTTGCTTGACAGTGGCTCATTGGGCAAATCTGAGACATCTTCAAATATGGCAAAGCAGTGTAACTACCAGCATCTTGGATTCTCATCCCTACCCAGAGATCCAAACACAAACATGCTTAGGACAAAAGGCCCTGTGGGACTTCAGACAAGTTTATTCGACTTAATTTCTATAAAGGCAAAACCAACTTTCCCTTTAAAAATCTGGAAATCCATTTTTTTATCAATGTATCATGTGCAATAATGTATAGACTTACAGAAGATCTTAAACTGATGAACTCAGTTAACAGCTTGCAAGGTAGGTTTTTGCTTTGAGGGAGTTTAGAAGTCTCCCCAGACTATGAAGGCAACTTTGTTTTGATCTGATTCATTAAAACTGTAAGGATGGAAACAGCAATTTATCATAATGTGGTAAACTAGTTACTTAGATGATTACATTACTGATGCAAATTTGAGTCATCCAAAAGTTTAAAACCAAGGTTAACATTTTAGAGAAAGGATGACATTTTTTTACAGTTCATTATTTTTTGACAGTCATTTTTATGTCACGTCAGCTTAACTCTTGAGTTGTTTATTCTTACCTCAGTTAATGGCATGCACTTCAAAATTATCAAGGTGGCATTGTCATACTTTATTAGCCCTCCTTATTTCTTAATTGCGTGGGCACTGTTTGTAAACAAGTAAAAGACCCCAAAAGTGTTTTGTGGGTCTATGTCTTATTTTTGGAATTTACATAATTATCTGCTACAATTAAGACAAAATGTATTCACAAGCAAATGAAAATGAATTTTCATTAGTGTGTCTGGATTTTGAACGCTTTATATGTCATGGTTGAAAATCAGACCACTTCAACACCCTCATCTCTTTATACTTATAATCAGCATGAAAAGTTTGGATTTGATTTACAAATAACTCTTTACAATAAAAGAATCAAGATCTATAGTTTCATTAGTAATTATTTTGGCATGTACCTGATTTCATGCACCATGTACCTTAGGTAGATTTCTAAAAACATAGTACCAGGACAGCATGTCAAGATTTTCTATATTGTTTCACAAAAAATTAATTCAAGGGTCTATTTTTTTCATAGGAGGAAGTAACAATATACTCCATTAGCCAATTCTCTACAACCCCCTCTGGAGAGCTGCGTCAGTTCTCATCACAAGGAGATGATTTTTTTTCCTCTTCAGTAGTATTTGAGTATCACTGAGACACTGATCAGAATTCTTCTTGAACTTACTGATCCCCTGAGGTATAGAAGGATGTCTCAGTTCGGGTGAGCTCTTGTCAGGCTGAAACTGTACACTGGAAGTGGGAAGCCAGCTTTCCACTGCGGATGCAAGTCTTCCCGATGATCGTTCAGGGACTTTAACTAAAATACCATTTGAAGTAATCACTTCATTTGGGAAGTTCTTGAACTCTGGGTTTTGTGTTTTCCTTGGTTACAGGGCATCATGGAGGTCATGATCCACAGTGGACTGTGTGTAAGATGAGCTGGTGGTGTCAGCAGAGTAAACCTGGAGGAGCCCACAGTATTGACAGAGTGCAAATGGGCCCCTGCAAGTTTTGAAGAGCTGTATGATGTACTTCCGAAATTTCTCCCCCAGAAAAAAATAGATGACTGGGTTAAGGCAACAGTGAACAAAAGCCAGGGTTTCTGTGGCCTGAATGCCATAGTCAAGGCGTCTTTCAAAGGTGCAGCCCTGAAGGACTTCGAGCTCCACCAGGCTCTCCAGGAAGAGCACTATGTTGTAAGGGGTCCAGAATACAAGGAACAGGACCACCACAGCAAAAATCATCTTCATTGCTTTGTTCTTCTTCTCATTCTTACAGTGCTTCAGGGTCCTGATGATCTTGGAGTAGCAAAACAGCATGATCCCCAAGGGGAGCACCAACCCGAGAACGTTGATCTCCAGGGAGCTCAGGACCTTCCACGTGGTGGAGTTGAGAGAGTATCTGGTTTTGCAATAGGTGTGGTTGTGCTCTGTATAACAAGTGCTAAATACAAGTCCTGGGAGTGAGGCTAAGACAGCCACTGACCACGTGACCATGCTGGTGATGACCCCGTAAGTCAAGGTTCTCGCTCTCAAAGAAAATACTGCGTGCACAATGGCCAGATACCTATCAATGCTCATGAGCATGACGAAGAATATGCCGCTGTAAAAGCCCACCAAGTACATCCAGGAGATGATCTTGCACAGACCCAGGCCAAACACCCACTGGTCAGCAGCGTAGTAACCCCAGAAAGGGAGGGAGAACACGAAGAGTAGATCGGAGATGGCAAGGTTAAGCAGGTACACGTCAGTCATGGACTTGAGTCGCTTGTACTTGAACAGGACCAGAACTACTACTGAATTTCCAATCAGACCGAAGAGAAAGACCAAGGAGTAAAGAGGGGGCAGGAAGAGCTTCCCAAAGGCCTTGATGCCTTCTTTGGTGCAAGGCTCAGGGATAAACTCAGACAGGTAATAATTGCTGTATAGGTTTTCATCCTGGGTGGTGTCTGCTATAGCTGTTGGACTCATTTCTAAAACTACAGGCTCCTCGGGGCAGGCCTGGGCCCACTCAGCAGCAGCTAGTAGGGGGAAGAGCAAACGAGATTTCCGTAAGAAAAACAAATCACAACTGTGTTGAATGCAGAGCAGTGTTACTTCACGTTTATCCCTCGGAGCATTATATATGCATCTTCCCAAAATGAAACCTTCAGTTCTTTGAAGGGAAGCACAGCCAGATGAAACAATGTGGACCTTTGAAGTCATACTGATTTGGTTCAAATTTTGAACATTTGCTACTATAGGGGACTTTTCACACCCCTCTGATGGGGGCTTAAATTTTCTCATTTGTAAGGTGAGAGAGAGTAAAATGTCCTTCTCTAGGTGCCTATGAATGTGCTTCTAAAAGATATTGTGGTTCCTGGGTGGTGTAAACCGTGAATGCACCTGGTTACTAACTGAAAGTTTGGAGGTTCAAGTTCACTCAGAGGTGCCTTGGAAGAAAAGCCTGGTGATCTACTTCTGAAATATCAGCTATTGAAAACCCTGCAAAGCACAGTTCTACTCTGACACACATGAAATTTTCCTAGGTCAACATGAGTCAGAATCAACTCATGCTACTCGTATTAATGGTACTGGTAGCCTGGGGTCACTACCATTACTCACAAGGATGACAAGACCAGTTAACATCCCCAACAGAACTGCATGCAGGATCTTTCTGGCATACAAGCAAACAAGTTAAATCTCTGCATGTTTCCCCTTCAAATTGTAACTCAAAAACTCACTAACTTTTGAGATCGTCATTAATTAGAATTACCTACTTCTAATTAGATACAGCTCTGGTAGCGTAGTGGTTACGAATCGGGCTGCGAACCGTAAGGTCAGCAGTTCGAAACTACCAGCGGTTCTGCGGGAGAAAGATGAGGCGATCTGCTCCCATAAAGATTAACAGCCTCGGAAACCCTGTGCAGGGTCGCTATGAGTTGGAATCGACTCCACGGCACATAACACAACAACAACAGCGTAGTGGTTACAAGTCAGGCTGTTAACCTCAAGATCAGCAGAGCGAAACTACCAGCAGTTACGTGGGAGAAAGATGAAGTTTTCTGCTCCCATAAAGATTTATAGCCTCGGAAACCCTATGCAGGGTCGCTATGAGTCAGAATACACTCCACAGCACACCACTACCACCACCAGTTAGATAGAATTAGAAGGAACCAGTTGGTCACTTGCTTTTATTTAAAAACAGTGATTCCTCTTACATGCTTTGTACTTTATAGATTTCAACACAAGTTTTGTATGGATTGTTCATTTGAGCCCTATTCTAATTCTCCTGTCCCTGCCCTCCTCTTCAACAAATAACTTTTACTCTGAGACAAGTTACACGTAATTGACTCATGTTGCTGATGAGTCATGAAAGACGGACAGAGGTTAAATGACTTCCGAAGATCACAAAGCTAGCTATGTGTAGAAGTTATTCTTCGGCCCCCAAGTCCCAGTGATGTGATGATAAATCAGGTCTCCAATGGTGGGGTGGGGGTGGGGGAAGGAGAATGTTCTGGTTTGTGCTGCTGGCTAGTTTCCTACCATAACCAATTTCAAGTCACCGTTGCTGTCGAGTTGATTCCAACTCAGAACAACAACTCTATAGGACAAAATAGAACAGTTCCATAGGGTTTCCTAGGCAGTCGTTTTTATGGAAGCAGACTTCTACATCTGTCTCCCTTGGGGCAGCTGGTAGGTTCGAACCCCTAACCTTATGGTTAGTAGCCTAGTTCTTAACCACTATGCCACCAGGGCTCCTTTAATGTCAAGTTATTATTATGTTAATAAATGCTTCACTCCTCAACATTTATCCATCAGCTTTTGGAAGGTGATGCAAGCAAACTAGCTGGCAGCACACCACGGCCCCATCTCAGGTGGAAACCTGCCTGGCGTCCCCTGCAGGGGTGACCAGCCACTCCTGGGCCAACTTGACACTAATGCAGTAAATGTGTTTTCAAGCCCTTCAGAAGGTCACAATACTCAGTTGGGTAATTTGAGGGAGCTTCTTGGTCTTTTTATCAAACAGCATATCAGAATCAATGTAAATTGTGTTGAATCCTGTTAGACTGGCAATTCATCTGACAGATCTAAAAAAGGCACAGTATAACCAGAAATCAAGCTCTTCCCTCCCCAACTACCCTCATTTCCTTCCTAAGTCTACAGATGAAGACATTAAAACCTTAAAGTCACATATATGTTCATATATGGATTAAAGCAATTCAGGGAGGAAGGACCCTTTCTGAACCACAGCAATCCCCTCTAGCTTCCTTCATAATGCTTCCATGCCACCCTGGCATGCCTTATTTCACCCTTTTTCATTCCTCAATAATTCACATTTCTCCCCACCCTTTATCACCACCACCACCACCCACATACACACACTTACCACATACACAACCAAATATCCACTGGGTCTAGCAAGAGAAAGATGTTTGTTTACCCCTCCTACAAAGCAATGTTGAAGATCTGGTACATTGTAGGGTCCCCAAAAAAACTGTTAAATAGACAATTATAGCTGTTCTCTGCTGTTTTATCATTGAAACTTAAAAGAAAAGAGGTATGGGGGCTAGGAAATTATCAGAAGAACAGGGACAAATGCCTGAAGTCATTCTGTAGCCCTTATTTGTATGTGTCCCTTGGCCTGGGGAGCTGTGATAAGAGAAGGAGGAAAGTTTGTAGTTCTGATGAAAGTTTACTTGTATATTCTGGGCATGAAGACTCAGGCCCAGTGTGTGCAGGGAGATAACCAGGTGACTCTAATGGCCCTGCAGGGGAAGGGCTCTGAGACCACGGGTTCAAGTAGCTTGGGACTGAGTTGCAAGTTAGGTGCCAGCTGTGAGCATTGAATGGCCAGGACACCTGAGTGTTGATGCTGAGTGAGTGGTCATCAGCTCTCATTGCTTCCTCAAATTTAGAGAGCTGTGCATAGCCTGAAACCCTGGCAGTGTCCCTATCCCTGCTTACCTTACTTTGCTGAAAGTGGCTCTGAGGGAGTTCTGTGAGGCAGTGCTGGGCTCGCTCAAGAAGCACCGTGCTAAAAAGGACAGGTACCTTTGAAGGGTGCGTAGCTTCCTATGAACACAGCGCTATCCCTCACCCATCTCTGCTGAGCTCAAACGGGGTTTTTTAGGTGTAAAAAACAGAAAATGAATGACTCTGAGTCACTCGTTTTTCAAAACTGAAAGTTAGGAAGGTTTGTTCTTTGCTATATGAGAGAGAAAAAGGAATTTTTTTTCTTTTTTCTAAAGAGAAGCTTCAAGCATTTTAAAGATGTATCTCATTTTAGTCAGCCACATTCTTTGATTCAATCATTGATAGTGCTCTGGGATGCTGGTCAGAGGTTGGCAGTTGGAGTCCCCCCACAGGCTCCACAGAAGAGAGTTCTGGTGATGTACTTCTAACAAATCAGCCACTGAAAAACCCTACGGAACACAGCTCCACTCTTATACACATGGGATGACCACGGTGAAGTCAACTCTATAGCATTTGGTTTTGAATCTTGTGTGAAGTGACAATAACAACATAGCTTCAAGCCCCTTTTCCAACAGCCCTGTCTACTGAGAAACGGTGGGGCTCCCACTCACAGTGATCTCGAATGAGCGTTCCTTTGGGTGTGGGTTCGCCACGGGGTTGGCACCTTTCCTGAGTCCTTTGTGTATCCTCAGCTTGTTGCCAGGGTCCAGATGTTTTCCCTCCATGTGTCACCAGGTTCATTCTTGTTGTTGTTAAGTGCCGTCAAATCAGTTCTGACCCATAGCAACGCTGTACAAGGTTTCCGAGGAATGGCTGGTGGGTTTGAATTGCCGATCGTGTGGTTCAAATTGACCTTGCGGTCTAGCACATTATCCTGCAGTGCCATACCAGGACTCCAGGTTCATCTTAGAGTCTCAAATTTCACTCTTCCTGAGGAATCTTAGGGATAGGAGCTAAAGAATTCATCTAGAACAGTGTTTGTCAACGTTTTTCCCATCATCACCCTCCTGTGGAGACTTTTCCAACCTTTTATTCCTAATTTGCCCCACCCACATGAAATGTTAATTCATAGATAAACTAATCTGTGTATGCACTGTATGTATATAGAGTAAAACAGAAGATGTTTTTCTTCCCCAAAGAACCAATTTTCACCTCCTTGAGGATCTGTACTGAAAATAAATGAATTACAGCAGTTGTTCCCAACTGAGGTTCTCTGCCCAATTCCCAAGGGACATTAGAATGTCTGAAGAGGTTTTTATTGTCATAGTTGGGGGACTGCTACCGGCTTCCAGTGGGCAGAGGCCAGGGATGCAGTAAAAATTTAACAGTGTACTGGACAGCCTCTCACAAAAAAGACTTAACTGGCCCAAAATGCCAGTAGTGCTGAGGTAGAGCTATCTTCTGCAGAGTATGAACTGTGGGACCAGGTTCATAGATATCTATAAAACAAGAGTGGGGAATTGTGGTCAAATAAGTTGGAGGACTGCTAGGTTTAGGTTCAGGGTAAACACAATCACTTTCTCAGGGGCTTTGTAATGCTAATGTAATTCAGAGTCTCTAGAAGGAAGCTACAAAATAAAAATGTCCTGTTTGACCATTTTAGAAATGGAGTGGTATTGGACCTCACCTAACTTCCGGGAAAGGAGAGCGAATCAAGACCAACATATACACAAAACTGATTCTTATGACGTGGATGTCAGATATGCCACCACTCTCAAATCTTTTTACCAATTTGGACACCAATCGTCCCTCCTCGGGCACTCTCTACTTCTCTGCTGGGTTCAATAATTCCTTGCGATGGCCACACAGAACTCATAAACCACACTCACAAGTATGGGGCTTACTGGGGAAGTAACAGGTTATAATTCAGGATCAGGATCAACTTAGAAGTAGCAGGAACAACTCAGGAGTCAGTTCTTCAATCAAGTCTCCTGGGTCTGCTCTTGCCATTTCTTTGCCACTGGACTCTGCTATGCTTGTTACCACCTCTCTACCACCAATTTACACCATCGCCAGTACCACAGTTCCCTGTATTTTCCCGGTCTAGAAGGTTTGCAGCGCAGAGACCCTGATTCAAAAGATACACTCTGTTCCTGGTTCTTATTGAGAGCACTTGCTTTAACATTTGTTAAGTCTGGCTTTGAACTTCAGTGCCACCACTAACTAGTTCTGTGAGCCTCTGTTCTCTTATCTGTAAAAGGGGGATGTATGCAGCATTGTGGAGGATGAAGAAAGCTAATGTTAGAAAGCGCTTAGCACCTGTTACTTTCAGTGCTTAACAAGGGAATAAGCAGTAGGAATTATCAGAATAAATAAAATACACAGGAATGCCTTGGCCTTTCTTGAAATAGCTAAACTTTGCATGTTGCCCTTAGTTTTAACTAGGATCCCAGGAAATATTTGGATTTAGACTCTGTAGACTACATTCAACTTTTGAGTCAATGTTTAAGTGAAAGCAGATTTCAGGATTCTGTTGTAGCAGGTGATATAGCCTTGGAGAAAGTGAACCTTCCAAAGTAATAGGAGATAAGCACAAGTGTTTTGTATTTGCCTGGAACAACAGAAGAAGAAGGAGAGTCAAGAATAGGAGGATATGGGATGTGTGACTAATTGTCTCCAGGAACAACTGTCTCCTTGGCCATGAGACCAGAAGAACTGGATGGTGCCCAGCAACCATTACTGAATATTGTGATCAAAGAGTCTATAGAAAAATCCTGACCAAAAAGGGGGAAATGAAAGAATTTCACATTCTCATTAACTCTACTCTCTGGACTCATTGAGGGTAGATGAACTCTGAGGTCATTTAAATTAAAAATATGCCTTTAAGTCTTCTTGAAAATCAAACATTTTAATTTAATTTATAAAGAATATCTGCCTTGGGCGTTATGTTATTTTAAGACCTAACTATGGGATCAAATTGACAACAGCAACTTGTGAAAAACTCGATAAGAACCTTAGGGTGCAGTAAGTTTACATTAATGGAAGAGGAACAATTCAGAGAAGAAGGCTAAGTATGGCTTCACACAGATCACACTGGACACTGATTACATTCGGAATGTCATCAGTGTCATTGAATTGTTCAAGGATAAGTAAAATAAAAGTATTGCTACAAAATCATAGAAATCTTTATTAAACAAAAGTATCAAAATTTGAGACAGTTGTTTCTTGACATCTCTCCCATCTAGGTTTATACACTTCTGATGCTAGTTTTCTAACCCTTCCCTAAGGAATTCTGGTAGCATAGTGGTTATGAGCTGGACTGCTAACCTCAAGGTTAGCATTTCAAAAACACCAGCTGTTCCATGGGAGAAAAATGAAGTTTTCTACTCCTGTAAAGACTTACAGCTCGGAAATCCTGTACAGCGTTGCCATGAGTCGGAACCGACTCTACAGCACACCATCACCACCATTACCAACCCTTCCCCGAAGAATTCTGTGCTCTTCGATATATAGACTCCGTGTCAAAATGACAGTTTGGGCATCCTCAAGAGACTTAGATTGTTTTCCTTTCAATGTTCTTTGAGTTTGAGGAACAGAAAGTCTGAAGGGACGAGATCAGGTCTGTAAAGTGGATGGTGTTAGGTTCCCCAATGAAATTCTCCTAGAATAGTCCTTGGTACAATCAAAGAATGAGCAGGTGCACTGTCATGATAGGAAACATTTCCTTGGCCTAATGCTCTGGTAGCTTAGTAGTTACGAATTGGCCTGCGAACTGCAAGGTCAAAACTACCAGCTGTTCCACAGAAGAAAGATGAGGCTTTCTGCTCCCATAAAGATTTCCAGCCTTGGAAACCCTGTACAGGGTCGCTCTGAGTCGGTTCCGACTCCACGGCACATAACCAACCAATGCTCCTATCCTTTTTCTCACCAATGCAGTTTCCAATTTTCTTAAAACTTCTTCATGATAAAAACTTGTGATCATACTGGTCCTTCGAGAAAATCTATCAAGATTACCCCTTTTGGAATTCCAAGAAAACAGTCACCATAACATTCTGAGCTTACCTCTGTACCTTGAATTGAACTGGCCCAACAGATCACCTCAGAACCCACTGTTTTGATTGGACCTTTTTATTGTAGACACCCTAATGATAGCGTAGTGGTTATGAATCGGGCTGTGAACCTTAAGCTCAGCAGTTCGAAACTACCAGCTGCTCCGCGGGAGAAAGATGAGGCTTTCTACTCCCGTAAAGATTTACACCCTCGGAAACCCTATACAGGGTCGCTATGGGTCGGAACCGACTCGATGGCACATAACAACAACAACAATGATACTAAGCCAAGTGTATTACTGAGCGAACTCATCTGCAGCCGTTCAATTGCGGAGACGCGTTTAAACACATTTTGTTTGTAATAAACCTGTGTCTATATATATGTGTGTGTGTGTGTGTGTGTGTGTGTGTGTGTGTGTGTCGCGCTGTGGGTTAATGCGCCAGAATGCAAAGCCATTTGAACTGCAAGGTCGGCGGGTCAAGCTCACCAGCTGCTCCTCAGAAACCCTATATAGGGTCGCCATGGGTCGGAACCAACTCAACAGCACTTCACAACAACAACATATGAACTGGAACCCTAGTAACAATACTTTTTGACTTGCCTTTGTAATGTAGAAAGAAATTGCTGAATAGGTGTATGTTTTGCTGTGTACATTCTCAACAACAGCATGATAAATAAATTAATTAAGTAAACAATTAAAATTGAAAATTGGTTTCTGGAAATAGGTTTCCCTTTAGGAAGTGATTTGAAAATACATGTTTTTTCCTCCCCAGAAAAGGATGGAATTTGTAGTAACACTTGTTTCATAGATGGGTAAAGGGGTATGGGGAGAAGAGAGGTGATGTGCTCAAAGTCATACACTCAGTCAGACACAGGGCTAACACCCACACTCCTGACATTTTCATGACACCATCTTCCAGTAGGCTGAGTTTCTGAAACCCGACTAGGCAGGAGCAGACCAACCAAAAATCCCCAGGGCATACCCCACCCCACACCAAGGTAGTATTTGTTGTTGTTAGTTACTGGTGAGTCAGCTCCAACTCAAGG